AAAAAAAAAAAAAAAAATTCCGTACGGGACTGTCCGATTCACTGTTCAGACGCGCCGATTCCATACAGTGAATCGACGAGTCACTGTACAAAATCGTCCGGTTTTCTCTAGAACCGAACGATTCCCATTTTTTTCGCCGATTCGATCCGTCCATAACGATTTTCGAGTTCCACTCGACATTTTTTTAAACACTAATCCATGACGATTCTCGAATCGAATCGATCGGCGTTTTTTTAAACAATAATAGAAGGTATTTACGGTAGGCCGTTTGAGAGAAAGGTCTATTTATGGTAGGCCGTTTGAGAGAAAGGCCTATTTATGGTAGGCCGTAGGTCTGAAGGCTTACGTCCTGGATGACGTTGTACAACAAAGAAGTAAAGAAGAGTTAGCCCACATGATTCTCATATGCGGTCCCTCTCTTCTTTCCTCTTCAATACTGACAAACAGCGCATTTAGTGAAAACAGAGATCGCGATCCTTGCATTCCTGATACGGCATAAAACTTATATACGTTTTTTTCATCCGACCGTCTTTTTTGAATGAAAGGTTGAAATAACCTCATTCACAATTTTATAATATCTAATTTTTTATTTTTTTTATATAAATTATTTTGACATCAAATTTTATATGACCAATCTTCCATTAAATTCGTTTAGGGAAAAATATAAAACAAGTACTTCTAATAAAATTAAATGACCAAAATATTTTTGAAAGTTTCAAAGAGTATTTTGATCATTATATTTTATTGAAAATTTATTTTAAATCTTTTTTATAGGTGCGTCCCAATGAGAAGATGGCACGTACCAAATTTCATATTCATACAATTTGTATAAAAAATTAAAAATAAAATACATTGAGATGACGGATCTAAGATCAAACAGTGAGTGACTCTCTTAATAAAGAATGGACGGCTGGATGGTAGGAGAAGCACATAACTTTTATGCTGTATAGGAAGTATATAAATTTTTCCATGACTCCTTTCTTTCTAAAAACCAATAAATACATAAAAGAGAGAGGGAAAGAGAGAGAAAATAACCTAATCGAAACAAAAATATGTATGAGAGAGTAAAAAAGAAAAATCCAATCTTAAAGTGTGTGAGAGTAAAAAAGAAAGCCCAAACTAAAATAGAGAGAGTGTAAAAAAGAAAGTCCATCCAATTTCTCTCATTACCCCAAACTCCTTTATAATTCTTATTATCAAAGAAATTTTTGTTGAAATTTTTGTTCAACAAAAATCCCATTTCTCCCCCATTCTATGTGTCTCTAACAGTTTTACTGAGTACCACAAAGTCGTAAAAACGTTTTTCACGTTTTACTTCCAATTTCTAGTACTTTTTATGTTATGTATAATTGAATGGGGAAGATTGGCCCTAACCATTATTTCAAATAATTTAAGAATTATTTTTTTTAAGGTATTAATGGAATAATTTAAGAATTAGTTTTTTTTTAAAAAATATTAATGGAATAATTTAAAAATTAATTTTTTTAAAAAATATCAATGGAAGTAAAAACTATTACGATTAATATGAGAGTCGGTACCACCATGACCCCAAGCCCTTTCCTTTGATAGGGGGACAATTCATAGAGAGGAACTTCTTACCATTCTTAGAGAGAGAATGAGATAAAAGTCTAACTCTTAAAAAAGGAGTTCCACTTAACGTTCTAGAAAAGATGAAATTTTTGTAAGGCTTAGGTTTTGTGATGGTTTTAAAATTAATTTTTTAATACGGACAAAAAATTTTGAAATTAAAAAAATGTTTAAGATATTATGGATATGTCAATTCAAAGAACAAATTTTTTTACTATTTCTTAAAAACGACGAAGATAATCGGTCCTGTTAAAGAGAGAGAGAGCTGTTAAAGAGAGAGAGAGAGAGAGATAAGGAGGATTACACCATGGATGAGACTGTAGTATATTGTGTGACAATCAAATATACTACGTACCACCAAATAACAAAGTTAGAATTGCATAGAGCGTATTGTGGTCCACTCACTTGTGCGTCTCATCTGCGGTCGTCTCATCTGCGGTCCCCTCCTATTGTGGTCCACTCACTTGTGCGTCTCATCTGCGGTCCCCTCCTTTTTTTTTTAGAACCGGACGATTCCTGTTTTTTTTGTCGATTCGATCCGTTTATGGCGATTTTCGAGTCGAACCGGGCGAGTCCGGTTCGACCCGGCGTTTTTTTAAACACTGTATCTAATTATAAAATTTTAAATTTAAAAAATAGTTAAAATCAATTAGATGTATAAACATATGAAAATATTAAAAATTAATGGCGTAGATAATATGTTATAAAATGTACTATTTTTTAGACTCAAATTTTTTTTATTTTTTATGATCATAATATTGAGATGATCAAGCGATCGGTTTTTCAACATTAAAACTACGTTTTCCAATGCGTTTTTTGAGGTGCAATCACATTCACCCTTATAAGAGAGAGAAAAAAGAGGAGAAAGGAGAGAGACCCTTCCATGAAAGCCATAAGATGTGCACACAGTGAACTCCTTCCCTTGTCAAAACCAGTAAAGACAGAGTCCAAGCCATAAGTCTTGCACACAACTCCTTCCCTTCTCAAAACCAGGAGAGAGAGAGAGAGTCCGGTTGATCAAGATGAGCGACCTAGCGGCCTTTACGGTGAGGAGCATCCCGGGCAGCTACGGGCTGCCATTGATCGGGAACCTCATGGACCGAATGGACTACTTCTGGCTCGAGGGCCGCGATAAGTTCTTCCAAAATCGCATGGCCAAGTATCAGAGCACAGTATTCAGGGCCAACGTGCCTGCTTCCGCTCCCCTCTTCGGGGGAAGTGATCCAAGAGTCATAGCCATCGTCGACTCCGCAGCCTTCACCACCCTTTTTGATATCTCTCTGGTTGAAAAGAAAGATGTTTTGGTTGGAGACTATCTCCCGAGTCTCGACTACACCGGAGGGATGCGCGTTCTTGCGTATCTCGACCCGTCAGAGCCGCAGCATTCCTCCATCAAGTCATTCCTCTTGGACAACCTGCGTAGAAGCGCAAAGGTGAGCTTGGCAATGGCTTTCTGGTTTATAACTGGTTTTACGGTTTTTCTGTGGAATGTAATAGTGTTTGATTGGTTTTCCAATAGAGTTTTTTTCCCTGCCTTCTGAAAGCCGGCCGATTCATTTCGACTCGGCTGAGTTACTCTGGCTCGGGTCATTTGCCAAGCCCGAGTTGTCCAAACTTAGAGGTGCAACTCTGGGGTTAAAATAATTATAAAAAAAATCCTAAAAAATAAAAAATATATTTGTACCATCTTTATTTATGTTTTGTATCATTTTAGCAAAGATGGGAAAGGATTTTGGTCCCGAATTTTTACATTTTTCCCATCCTTTTTAAAAATTTCGAAAATATCCCCTATCAAAAATTCATTTCTAATTTTCCCTACTTTTTTAACCAGGGTTTTGTTAAATTTTACTTCATATATTTATCCTATTTTTTAGGTTTTTTTTGTATTTTTTATTTTTAATAGTTTCCAGCCGTTAGTAATGTTGAGAATATACCCAATTTGGATTCGAAACCCAAATTTTGGACCCCATTTAGATCCAGGTATGGATTTAAGATTTGGATCTGACGGTTGAATTTGGATCAAAAATTTGGATTGGATTTGGGTGCAAGTGGATCCAATCCAGATCCAACCGAGTAATTAAAATAATATATATTATTTTATAGGGCAAGGTTTCTATACTCTCTCCTTATCGTATATAAGTTCTATACTTACCCCATCCAACGATCCAATTTAGATCAAATAAGCCACTTATCATTTGATCCAAATTCGACTCTTTAGAATATTTATTTTTAGTTTTTATTCTACAAAGTATATGAATATTAAATTTGGTATGAGTCATCATCTCAATAAGGTGCACCTAAAAATAATATAAAAATATTATTTTTAATAAATAAAATAGTTAAAATACCCCTAGAACTTTAAGAGATGTTTTGATCATTTTATTTTATCGAGAATATTTGTTTTATTCTTTTTGTAGGTGCGAGTTTTAGAGAGAAGTAGACGCTCAAAATTTGGTGTCAAAATGTTTTGTAAATAAAATAAAAATAAAATAGTGTAGAGGCGTTACAATGTAATTTGATATGATCCATCTCAGCCATTCATTCAGATCTAACAACCATATAAGGGGAAGTACATAGGAAAACCATAGAAAGCTCGCCCTATTAGATATTTTCATAAAATTGTCTACAAAGATACCATTTATCTTTTGTACATGGAGGTCACAATCGTTCTCGCTCATTAGATGTCAAATTGGATGGCTTGGGGTGAGTCACAAAGTCTGAGAATATTTTTTGAAACTTTGGGTCTATACAATGATGTTATTATAGCCACCTATTTTGAAATTTAGAGGAGAAAAATGATTGTGACCTACATGCACAAAAGATAAATGGTATTTTTGTATACAATCCTTATTTTTGTTATATATTATTTTATATTATTTTATATTAAAATAGCTTTTTTAGATCTGACAGGGTCTGTATCAGAATCCAAATCCCATGCATACTTTTTCGACCCGATCCCATGTATACCTTTTGGGTTTGAATCCAATGGATCTGGATCTGGATCTGTTCCGACCCATTCTCAGCCCTAGCTGCTACAATACTCGGCCTTGCTCGGGTTGAGTTACTTGAACTTGGGCAAGTACTTGGATGAGGCATGGCAGAGTAGTCGGTCCGATTGGACTTTTCGAACATTGTTTTTCCCATGGTACTAATGGCGTTAGGATTTGTTTAGTTTTGGAGTTGACTCTATTTCTATGATTTGATCAATGTTCAAAAATTCGTCAAGGCCAACTCGGATTCGGCAATTTTCCGAACCTAGGTTGGGGGGACTTGTACTCACCCAGGTTACTGTAGTAACTTGGATAAGTACCTTAGATACTTGACGAATTCCATGGACATGCAATCATTATCAGAAACTCGATTATTTATGTGATTTTACTTTTTAACTAGGGTTGGGGCTCGCCAAAGTCATTTTTTTTTGCAATTTTTACAATCCTAAGTCGATCCACCATGAAAATCCTTCCCTGAACTTTTTTTTTTTTCTATGAAGTGTTCTAAGACTTGTACCGAGACTAGTAGGCTGCCCAAAGTGAGTCCACTTAGTTGAGTCCTATGTGGACCATCCAAGTCCACTGAAAAGGACTCACAAAATCACAAGAAATGGAAAACTCGGGAAAAATAAAAATAGAAAATTATAAAAAAGAAGAAGAAGAGAACTTCACATAGAAAGGAATTTTACAGATTCAGGTGGGCTGGTCATGTGGAACGCAGATCCAATACAACGCCTATTAAAATATAAAAGTTAGTTCAAGTGAAAGGCTAAAAAAAGGCAAGTTGTAGTCCCAAAGGGACATGGTTAGAGGTAGTGTGGAAAGAGACGGGCACCTAAGGCCCTATTGAGATTATAGACGTTGATAGAGCAGAATGGTGGACAAGGATTAATGTAGCATACCACAATTAGTTAGAAAAAAGCTTTGATGACGACGAATATAGAAAGAAATTTTGAATTTTAGGTTGGATCTAGTTATTCCAAGTTCTTGAAATTGGTGAAATCCTATTTCGTTGTTCAAAACATCTCAAATCTAAGTGCTTCTTCTTGACCTTGGATTGACAGTAAGAAAATAAATGCAGGGACAATTTTTCAAGGTGGATTGAGCAAGGGTTGCAGAAATCACAAAACAAAACAAACTTTCACTAGACCACGGCTCAAAAGAAATGAGTATAATGTTAAATAGTTAGTCTTTTAGTCTGAGTTAAACTTAGTGTATTTTTTAACATCGGTGTCATCTATCAAATCCAATGCTTGTGTTCTATTAAAAAACAGACAATCAAAATATCAATTTTGCGAGATTTTAATGTTTAACCAAAAATTTCAAGAGATTTTCAATAGCCAATACATTTACCCACTTTTATAGTTTCAAGCAATGGTTTAAAAAACGGATCGATGACCCGGATCGGGCTTCCAAAAAACCGATCCGGATCGGGAATCGGGTGAATCGGTCAGAATAAAGCTTAAAAAAAAATTCGAAAAAATTATTAAAATTTATTATAAATATTGTTTTTTAGGAATTAAATAAAAAATGAGGGTACTCCATTAAGAATTTTCATGTTTTTGAATGAATATGCGAATATTGATATGTTCTTTCCCTGTATGAATCGCCA